GCAAATCTGTGCACAACGGCCACGGAGGAGGGACGGGTGTGGGCGCACAATGTGTTATCCTGCATGCTAGTTTTTCAGCTTTCAGCTAGTACATATATATATATATATACAAATATGAATTTGCTTATGTGGCTTTGTGCTTATTTATGCCTGCGTGTTTGTGCGCACACACGCCTCCCGCGCGCGTCGGCCTGCTCCCTGTTCCTGTGTTTGTGAGCCTGTGGTCGTGCCGGAATGGAACGTGGACGTTTTGCCATCCAGCCCGAAATTCACAGAAACGGGTTCGGCCCTGGCCGGGAAGAGTGGTATTTAGACTCTGTATTTATGCGTTTGGACAACCACAGCAATCTCTATCACCGCCTTGTGATTCATGTTTGTTTGCTTTTTTGCTCAGAGCTGATTCGACTCCATCAAGAAGCTCCTTTTTTTCTCTCTCTCTCTCTCCTTCCTTTCTTTTTTTTCCTCCCTCGCTCCCCCCCCAAAAAAAACGCTCTCTGCAGAAGCGTTTCACGCCATACCCGGTCAGAGTTTCATCAGCCTCGTCGCTGACCAAGCATGTGGCGGTTTCCATTGCGAGGATGCGACGTTAAAACTAACAACCTCTATAATTATCCGTCCATATTTCTCCGATGAGTTTGTGTAAACACGGCCGGGCTCCAGCTCGGGGGAGGCGGGCTTTCTTGGCAGGCCCCGGCCGAGGGTGCCACTGAATGGCTGTCGGAAAACAAAGCCGTTTCAGAGTGTGCCTTGGAAAAGACAAACCACTGTTCCAGGGACGGCGGAGAGGGAGAACCAGCTCCATCTGACAGACAGAGAGCTGTGATTTGAGTTGAGCTGTTGGCCGGAGAAGAAAGACACTGAGAATATGTGTTGTTGGCAAAAGCGGAGGGCAAACAACCTCAGACGTTTTCGATGGAAAAAGAAATATGCATTTACAGTGTTTTTGATTATGGGCAGCATTGTGTTACCCTGTGGGGTTGTGTTGTTTTTATGCTTTTTGCTGTGTGTTATCTTTTTAAATAGCATAATATGCCATTGTCCAGTACGATTTGCCTGATGGACAATGATGCTCATCTTCTCCTGTCCTACATTTACTTTCCCTCATCAGCATGCGCTCCGGACGTTCATCCGCACAGATCCATCCATCAGATGTCTCTTCTTCTCTTGCCCGAAGCCATTTTAGATTTGCAAAAGCACGGAGACAGTTTCAGTGTAGCGGATGGAATTAAAGAAATCCAGGAAGCTACTTTCAGCATTTTCAAATTGCTTCCAGAGGAAAAGAAAAATGAAGAAAATAAAAAAGGACTCGGCAAAGACGGGGTCCTTTCGTCAAGAGAAGAAAACAAAAAAAATAAACATTGCTGTTATTTCCGAGTTAGCTTTGCGGTCTCTCTGTCGGTCCCGCTCGCTGAGTGGAGACCTAAGTAATCAACAAAGATGAGTGGAACAGACCTCCCACAGTACCTGTGCAGACTCCCGAACGCTGAAACGGGGAGAATGGAGGCAGAAAGGCGACGGTTTGAGGGGCGGAAACGAGGGCTGACAGGGGTGAGAGGGAGAGCAAGGGGAAGGCCTCATATGCTAGATCAAATATTCTAATAAGATAAGCACGTAGAACTGCTGAGGAGGGATGAGTGTCTGCGTTTGGAGCCAACTAATTGAGATGAATACATGAATATATCAGCTTCATCTAACAGCGACGGGGCTCAGCCGTTACCAATGGTTACCATTCATTTGTACAGCCGTGTGAGCTGAGCAGCCATCCCTCTCTCTCTCTCTCTCTTTCTCTCTCTCTTAGGCAGAGTCCTCATGCCTCAGTACACCCCCCCCCCCACCCCCCCCCCCCCCAAACCCCCTCCACTCTAAACAAACTCCTCTGTA